CCGAACTAGCAATCCTCAACAACTTTTTAATTTTTACACCAGGAGCCAAAGTTCTTTTTCAGGAAATTACATCCCCGGCAATCAGCGGTTGTAGGATTAAGCTGTAAAAGGGTTCATACACTGCTAGTTGACAGTGTTGTACATATATTGTACATGAATTGTCAGCTATAAAGTGTCAAATTGAACTTGGGCTTTAAAATTAGCTTCTGCTAGTTTTTCTACAGTATGAGTGGTTTTGAAGTTGCGGACCTAAATATATTTATAAGTCCTTTAGAAATTACGGAGCTACTTTTTGGATTAGCGCTGCCCACCACTGGTAGTACCTATAGTTCAGTACTTACTGATCCTCGGTACTGATATGAATACTGTGTATCCTGTTCTCAGAAAGCAGAGCTAAAGAAGCAACATAATATTGACATGTACTACTGCTGAGTAATGGACTTTGACCTAACATGTGGAGATAGGTGCAGACCAGATGTGAGTGTAAATAACAGAGCAGTGTTTGTGACAAGAAGTCAAAGCTTTTCTTTTAATAACTTACTAGTCAAGCATATTTAGTTAATTTATTTATTAAACTTTATTTAATCAGACAAATCCTGCTGAGATCACAGATCTCTTTCGCAAGGGAGGCCTGAAACAACCTAACAAATGCATTTTTATTTTTTTGTTATTGGTAGAAACCAAAGTACCCCCAGAAATTCCCTGCAAGCACAAAGGAGGATTCCACAAAGAAAGACCCCAAGTCTAACAGAAATTGTGCAAACTGTGATACAAGTACCAAATTTGATATGACAATTGTCTTTAAGGTATTTGGCAAACCTTTTGATTGACAACTTGAAAATCCAAGATAGTTGTCTTTTTTTTTGTCTTGGCGGTGTCGTTTCGCTGCAGCGTGAAGCGCTGGTGGTAAAAACAAAAAGCGGGCTCCGCGACATCTGCAGGCAGCGATGCTTTGCCACTTCGACGGCTCGTCAGGTTCTGGGGATGCTGCTGGAGATTAAGGAACAACCACCTGGACTGTGAAGCTTCTTTTAGCCAGGAGGATGCTGTCGGCTTCTTCCGCTAACGAGCGGTAGTCCCTCTGCAGCAGCAGTGGAGAGTTGGTCAGAACAGCCCACAATGCAGCTGGGAGCTGTTGGAGGAAGAGATGGATGAGGAGGAACCCTCCATCATCTGTACCCAGCAGGGATAACATGCTCTCCATCAGCTCCAGAGCTGTGCCATCATACAAGCTGGAGAGGGAGAGGAGCTTCTCAGCCCGTTGTGTGTCAGAGAGGTGCAACGCTGCAGGAGCAGCTGCTGGAGGGCGATGTATTTCCTGTGTGCCGGGGGTCCTAAAGCAGGGCCATTACTCACCGGCTGGACAGCAGATAGATTTGCACACTTTATAAGGCCACAAAAACTCATTTTATCATTTTATGAAATGTCCCATGAGCCTTTGCTGCTTGAATGTATGGCAGACTTTCTACAAGTGCACAGACTAAAACTAAAGTGGGCCATCACACTGGCTGCTAGCTTAATCGTTTAAAGGACTTTTCTTAAAATAGTTTGTATTTCATGTATTATTACTGAGTTTGTTCCACAGTCCTGGATAGATATTCATTTTGGCCCTTTTGGGGGAAATGTTTGGGCGCCCCTGCTTTAGAGTCCTCATGATAATCTGGATGTCCTTAAGATGGCCAGAAGAATAAAAATCGGACCAGAACTGGCCCACTTCACCATTTGATTTGGCCCACCAGCAGTTGTTACTAGGTTGTAATCAGTTTTTTTTTTCATGTAAAGTCATTCGATTCATTGGTCCAATGACTATGTAAGGGGCTGTAATGTAATTAGTCAAAACATGGGCCACTGCACTGGCTTAATCATTAAAAATAAAAGGACAGTATTTTTAAAAGTAGAGGAGTTGTTTGTATTTCATGAATTATATTATTACATTTGGCCGCAGTCCTCAGGTAGATTTTCATTTTGGRGAAAAGCTTTGTGCAGCCTTGATATATGTATATAAACTGAAACAGCTGGTCTAGTGCATCCTAAATTTAACATCCATTCATTCTTTTAATACAACAGTCATTTCTGCAGTTTTTGGGGAGGTCACCTCCTAATAAATGTCCTTACAGAAAATCTAACTGCTCATTTTAAATCAATACTTCGACTTTTAATACTTAAGTACAAAAAATATCAGATACTTTAACACTTTTACTCAAGTAATATTCCTAAAGCAGACTTTAACTTTTACCAAATAAATTTTTTTGGTCAGATACTTGTACTCAAGTATCACTTTGTAGTACTTTATACAACACTGATCCATAATATAAAAGGGTATCATTCTGGTCCACCTCTCCATGGATAAAGAGAATGACACAATCATGAACTGCTCTGTGATCAGTCTGAATTTAATTTATTATCAGCTAAGAATAACTGATTCATCATTATTTTGTGTTCACAGGCTATCAGTCAAGCTTGTCCACCCAACCAGCCTCCACCTTCTACCACCTGAAATCATCTGTATCTGGATGAAAYGTCAACGCTCTGAAGATCACGCCTCTTAGAAACATTACTTCTCTTATATCTGTTTTCTATGTTTGTCCAATATATCTAGAAATGTATAATCAGAAAGCCTCTCCACTTATGACCTCTGACCTGGACTCTTCTTTCCCRCAGTTGTTCAAACTAAAAGTTTAATGTAATGTACACAGTGTCTGTGCTGTTTACATCCAGGAGTTTTGGGCCATTTGACTCTTTGTAAGTGTCTGGAAGAGTAATACAGATGGATGTACTTTATGGCTGAAGGAAAAAAACTGTATAGGTCCTCTGGACGGGTTCTTCTTTAATGAAACGTTTCGTCTCTCCTCCAAGAGACTTCTTCAGTCAGAGAGTTTCAGGTAAAATTCAGGCTTTAAAAAGCCTGAATTTTA